GCGCGCGCCCAGCACATGGACGCGCTCCCCGGCTGGAACAGCTCCGACCAGCACCCCAGTCCCCGCGCCTGTTCACTGCGTGCCCGTTCCCCTCACCCCTGCGCCCCACCCTGGCAGAGCACTCTGCTCCTCCAGCAGGAACAGCAGCTGGGAAACTGAATCACACACAGGCAGCACCCAAGCACCTCCTGTGCACGCCCTTTTGCCTGGGCACCTTCTTGGGTAAGCCTTCCCAGACCACCCCACTGCCTGTGACTCCCCAGGTAGGGGCGCTAAGGCCAACAGGGAAACTAGCAAAGGTAGAGAAGGCTACTGCCGCTGCCCCTGCTCAGTCTACGAGACCAAACCCTGGCACGCACCTGGGCCTGGATGTCCCTTACTGCTCCTGCAGCTTGGACGTTGGACAGTGACAGTGGGCCCTCCAGCTCCAGGATGCTGGGGGGATGTGCTCAACAGACCAGTGGATATCAGGACAGAGGCCCCAACAAACAAAGCTGCAGGTGAGGTAGGGAGGGTCCCTAGTTCCTGGAGAGGGTAGGTAGACCCCTCCAACAGAGGTGACAGACTAAGGAAGTGTTACCATAGCAAACCCTCCAAGGACCACTCAGAACCCTGATGCCATGGAGCCATCAATACTGGCAGCTGGGCCTCAGAATAGAGGCTGGAAATAGCATCCTACTCTGCCCTCTAGCAGGCAAGAACTGCACCGTGGCAGTGAGCCAATAGAGATAGGAAGTTAGGATGGAGGAGGAATAACCTCCAGTCTGACCTCAGACCCTTGAGTCAGCCCCTCCCATCTCCTAGGAATAGCATGTTAGGACTCTGGGAGGTGCCCTGGCCTAGAAGGGGCTACCTGCATGGAATGACTGATAGCAGGAGGGGCACTGGTCTGGGTGGCCAGAGACTTCTACCCAGCCCTGCCATGGGCTGTCTCTGCTCCAGGCACCAGAACACATGCCAAGCAGGTACCTGGGACAAGAAGTGTCCAAGCCTAACCCTAAATCGAACCCCATCTTCACCAAGGGTTTTCTGTCCCTTTTCCCTCAGGTTGAGGCCTCTGGCTTTCCTTGCCCAATAGGACAGAGACCTCTGGTCAGGATGTGAGAAGTACAGGACAGATCTTCCACACCCAGGGGCCAACCTGCTCACAGAAGCAGAACATTTCAGCACATTCCAGTACCACCTCAGAATCCCAGGTCCTCCCCAAAGCTCAGCCTGGCTGAGGGGATGGATGATGATGTTTGGGGAGGAGTCTGCCATCAGGACCTCCAGCATCAGGTCTCCTCAGGAAAGCATGGGCCTCAATGAAGAGGTCCCCAAGCCATGGCTGGGCCATAACTGGACCTCACACTAGTCTGAGGGAGGTCTGAGGCCTAGAGGGGAGGCACGGGAGTCAGGAGTGAAGTTTCCAGCCCACACTAAGATGAAGGATGTGATTCAAGAAAAGCCATCTTCAGAAAGTAGAGTCCAAAATGAAAAAGACACTGAAGTTTAATCAGGAAACCCAACCTCATGTCTCCCATGAAGGGTGCAACCCTGGACCAGTCCCCCAATGTGGTGGGGAGGGGAGCATACAGTGGTCCAGCCACTCCTGCCCCCACTCCCCAATTTTGGTCCAAAGTGCTGCCCTCTGACTTCCTTCATACCCACTGGCTGTCTGGGACCAGAAGGAGTAGAGCCCTGAGAATTCAGGTCTTGGGTCAATGGCTTCCTCAACCATGTCCCGCAATCCCTCCAACACGATGCCCACAAAGGTAGGTGATGCTGGGCAGGACATAGGCTGGTGGGTCCTGGGGGCCCACCCTTGATGCTGGGCAGTGAGCAGAAACGCTGGGCTGTCTTCGGAAACAATGTTTTGACTCTGGAAGCCCCACCCAGTGGGTGGCCCCACACCAGCACCCTGGGGCCCCGAGATCAGACTGCATGGCCCTGGGGCCTCATCGGCTCTTCACTAGGACCCTGTAGAGTGAGAAACTGAGGATGGCAGCAACAGCGGTCCCGACAGCCCCTAGTGTCAACCGGAGCCAGAAGGAGGTGGTGTGCAGCTCCCCATGGACCAGGTGTCTGCTGGAGAAAGAAGTTGGCTGGAGACACCCTCAGGGTGTTACCCAGATTCTTGCTGCTGTACCTGCCCTCACCCTGTCTCCTGGAAAGTCAGAGCTCCACAGAGCTGCTCCCTGTGTCCCCTGTGTCTAGCAGTGAGACCAGGCCACGGAGGGCCCTGCCAGGGCATCAACACCTGACTAAGGCCCACCCTGCAACCCTGACTCCAGTCCCCAACACCATAGCTCTTCCACTCTTGGTGACAGGGACCACTGGTACCGTGGGATGGGGACAGGCCTCCCACCACAAGGACTACGGCACTGGTACTCACGGGAAGGTGGCCATGGTGGCAAGCTGGGTGAAGATGGCTGTGCTGGGCTCTGCTGGGCCAGTGCAGGAGAACAAAGTGGGGGCAGGTAGCCGATGCCTACGGCAAAATTCAGCCGGAGATAGGCCAGGCAGCGAGACACCTTCAGGCAGGTCGGCTTTGGAGGAGACAAAGAGGCAGGGGGTCTGCCTGTCCATGTAATGGCGCTGTGGAATGAGGGGCCAAGTGAGGGCATGGTCTGATGGTGGGTGAGGGTGCTGGGGGACCTCACCCATGGACGTGCTGCCCATAGAACCCTGGGGCAGGTAGGGGCTTGCCTTGTAGACGCTGGCGCAGAGCGCAAATGACTGGGGGTCACTACCATCGAACATCAAGCAGGCGACATCACAGGCAGCGTCACATGCGGAGGCCAGTAGGCTGTCTGCATTTACCTCACATAGCTGAACAGAGGGTGGCCGAAGGGAAGGGGGCTCAGTCCCTCAGGATGCATTGGGACTGTCCAATGTGCACCTGTGTCTACTGCAGGGACCCCCAACTCCCAGCACTCACTATCAGATACTTCTCTTGCCCGTTGACCTGCACCGTGTCAATGGCATAGATGGCAGGCTCCTCGCAGAGCTCCCTGGCATCCTGATGCTGAGGAGGGAGATACCCGAAGCCTGGTGACCTTGATGCTCCTCAGAGGCCCTATGCCCTGGAAGCCCCAGGCAGGAGCTAGGTCCCCTTGCCCAGCACATAAGGCTCACCCTCAGGCCACGGCCGAGGAAGGCCTGCAGGAAGGCAGACTTGCCCACTCCTCGGGCCCCCACCACATTGCACAGGAGAACATTCCTTTGTGTCTGTCCCTTCTCCTGGTCCAGCTTCTTCTCACGAGTGACTGCGGGTGGATGGCAAGGACAACCAAGAATGAGGGGCTGCCAGGGAGGGACTGGGCCAGGCCAGCTGAAGGGTATGGGCCCACCTGTGATGGCGTGGGCCTGGGAATCCTGCTTGCAGAGGGTGGGGTAGCCCAGGTAGCCAAGGTGTTCGAGACAGTGCTGGACATCCAGGTAGGTCACCAGGCTGGGGCAGAAGTGAATGAGGAGCAGCATCATGGAGGGGAAGCAGTGTGTGGCAGGTGGGGGCAGGTGGGGGCTGTGCTTACGTCCACTGGCAGAGGTACCCATGCAGGGACAGCCGGCCTGCTTCGGTACGGACTGTGCACAGGAACTGGGGGCTCCAGGGGGCAGCTGGGAACACACTGAAGAGGCCCTGAAGCTCTGCCGGTGAGAGGGCGCCATCATGGTCCTGTGGGCAGAAGGGCTATGACGACACTGGCTGGGAGGCCGAAATAGGCAGCTCAGTAGAGTCACTGCATCCTCACCTGGTCATGCTTCTCAAACACCCTCTGCACAAACTGGTAGCCAAAGTGGTTGAGCTCTGTGCTGCAGCCAGGGGGCACGTGGAGCCTGTGGGGTCATGGGGCCATCAGGTTCCCACCATGCTTGGCACACCTCCCATCTGTGTGGTGGGACCTCCCGTGCACTGGACTGAACCTGGGAGGTTCCTGCATGTGCCTCCTTTGGCCAAGCACCACAGCAAAGCAGCAGGAAGAAATGTAGCTGGGGGTGGGCGGCACACCTGCTCTGCTTGGATCCCAGTCTGCCTGTCCACAGCAGGGCACCTCCAACATAGGCTATCTTGGCCATGCTCTGCCTGAGCGAGGGCTCCAACTCCACCCCGGCCCCATGTGACACTGAGACCCACCCACCACTCACGGAGGGAAGAGATAGTCAGAGGATAGCTCCAGTGTATCCCCATAGCCAAAGCGCCGCAGGATGGTCCATGTGGTCTCGTGGCGGCCACGCTGGATAAAGAGCGTGTTCAGGAAGAGGAAGCCTGCTCAGAAAGGGGCAGAGGATGTGGTACTGGGTACTGCCCAGCCCCCACCCCACCCTGGGAAAGAGGCATGGTGCCAGGTCTCACCATCCAGGGTCAGCCGGTTGTCCCGCACACCTCCTGCCACATTCTTTCGCACTACCATCTTCACATCCTCTAGGGCCTGCGGGGCCAAAGGGTGCCCAAAACAGGACTTCTGCCTCCAAGAGAAAGTTGCTGTTAGTCAACTAGCCGCCCCAGTGACTACTCCACCTGATCGTTAATGGTGTCTTAGGCATGGAGCCTGGCTGTGGCCTGAGTGGGTGGGTGCCACCAGGAGGGGGACAGGGCGACCACCTGGAAAGCATTGAGTTCTTCGTCACTGAGCGCCTGGTCCAGATCCTGGTCTGAGAGCCTGAAGATTCGCGTGAGGGCCTGGGTGCATGCGGGCCTCAGCTGCAAGGACAGCTTGCTCAGCACGATGCCTCCCAATGCTCCCACCTGCTGGCCACCCCCTGTGCCCACTGCCCACCTGCTTGGTCTCAGGGTCATAGAGTGGGGCCGTGGGGTGCAGCACAGCCTTCTGTGCATAGTAGAACAGCTCTGAGATGTTCCTCAGGTTCTTGGCCGAGCACTGGGAGCCACCGGGACAGACTCAGAGAGGTGCCTGATGCCGGGAGACTCAAAGGGGCCCGGACAAAGATGCAGGAACAAGTGGTCGGCAGCCCCCGCCCAAAGGAAGTGGGGCCCCCACCTGCCCTCAACAAGACAGCTTGCTTGAGATCCCAGGCCACCAGCACATGAGCGCTTGCTGCAGGTCCTGGCCCCTGCCCCTCCTCTTCTCCACCCCAGTAACCCCTACCCTGCCCTGCCCACCAGCTCACTTCCACACAGGTCTCAATCTCAGGAAACTGGCTCATGATGGGCAGCACAGCCTCCATGGAGCTCCCCGGCCGCAAGTCTGACTTGTTGCCCACCAGGATGATAGGGATCCTGGGGAGAGGTCCACAGTCACCAGGGATGAGAGAGCTGGCAGAGACCACCCTCCCTCGAGCCCTGCCCATTACCTGGGCCCCGTCTTAGTCTCTCCATTCACCAGTGGGATCCATTTGGTTCGGATCTAAAAGGCAAGACCCGGTATGATGTGAGGGTGCCACATAGCCCAAGGCTTTCATGTGGAACTTGAGCCTAGTTTGAGGGAGATGAGGGAGAGTTGAGGCCCACTGAGGGCCAAAGTCACAGCCATTGGGAACAAAGCCAGTGGGACGTAGCAAGTGGCAGGTGCAACCTCATCTGATTCTAGCAGTTCTCAAACACTACCAAGGGGCCTAAGTCAGCAGCCCAGGGCAGCCTCTTTTACAAGCCTAAGCAGTTCAGACTTGTGGCTCTCCATGCTCTCTGTGCGGGAGATGACAAGGTCACAAGGGGCTCCCCTGGAGAAGCTGTGGGGTCCTGGCCACAGGCCCCTAGCACCCAGGGTGGCTCCAGGAGGCTCCCCAAAGTACTCATGAGAGATAGGGCCAGCCACAGATGTGAGTCACCCCAGAGCTGCTTCAGCTGAGCATCCACGTGGGGTCCACGCAGAAGTCAGGGTGATGATCAAGCTGCGTGCCAGTGACAGGGACCCAGGATGAATAGGGAGTTCTCTCACCTTCTCGATGGTGTCTTCCTCGGACACGTCATATACCACACATACCACGTTTGCCTATGGGGGAGGGCAGGTGGCACAGCATTACCAGAAGCTTCATGTCCACACCACCCCAGCACTCAAAGACAAGCTCAGAGACCCAGGAAGCCATCCTTCCCTGGTGCCCACTAGCCAGTACTCTTTGGCCATGTCATTGAGACTGGTGACATGGCCAAGGACCTGCTCAAACCTCAGACAAGCCCCTCCCTGCTCACTTCCAGGCCCCAGCACTGCAGCTCCGGTCAGTCCCCTGGAGAACTCAGGAAAGACCCCCCAAAACCTGGCACCCCAGCCTTCATCTTGGACCTTCACTCCTGTATTACTAGGGCTGAGACAATGACGAGGACAACAGCGCAAGAGATGATGAAGGCAAGGAGAGTAGCTGTGGCCTGAACTCTTGCCCAGTGGTGCCCCAGGACAGTAGAGAACACAGCGGGACAGGACAAAGCTGCAGGGGTAGTTCCCCCCCAAGAGCTTGGCCCATGCACACATCTTCCAAATAACAGGTGAACAGAGGACTGTTTAGCCTACAGCCCTGATCACAGCACCTACCTAAGCCCAAAGGCCCAGGGTAGTGGACTGCACTACAGGGTGGTGGTGCGCTAGGTGGCCAGGGCACAGAACTACTTAAGGGATCACTTTGAAGGATACTGAGGTCTGTTTCCCAGTAGCTACTGGAAGAACAAATGCTGGGTATGGAGAGCCATGGGGCTGGCCAGCTATATGGGTAGGAGAGAGGGATGGTCCCTCTTTTCCCCAGTTCCCAGCAGGGTGTGTCACAGGAATCCCATAACTCAGTGCTGAGAGGTCATAGCAGAATTAGCAAAACTGCAGACTCCCTGAGCACCTTAATCCAATCCCTGAGAGAGACACTCATTAGGCCTTGGGAGCAGCCTGCCCCCAGGGCCTGGGCACTGATCCCCCATGCCTGACTTCCACTTCCTGAGCTCTCAGGATGCACAATGTACCTTGTGAATCTCGTCCTGGAGCTCTTCAACCGTCTGCTCAGCTTCTGGATGGAAGAGATCGCACTGCAGTCCTGCCCAAAATGTGACTCCTGGGCAGAATCCTGGGGTGGGACGGGGTGGGGAGGCTCCGCTCTACCTGAGGAATCCACAATGTGGGTGGGCACCTTCTCTGGGGTGACGTCTGCGGGAATGGTGATCTCTTCTGCACGAGGCGGGACCTGAAGCAGACCGGTCTTGAGAGTGGCCTAGGAATGGAGGGAGGTCCACCCTGGGGCCTCAGTCCCCTCCTCGGCGTGACCACGGGAGGGGCGCTCAGCACCGCTGCTCTCACCTCCTCCGGGAATTCCTCGCCCACCAGCGACAGGATCAGCGACGTCTTCCCCACCTGGGCTGCGCAGGGCGGCGCGGTCAGCGCAGCGGCCAAGGTCGCGGCGCTCCCGCTCCGGAGAGGTCGGGCTCCTACCCCTCGGCCTCGATTCCCACCCCAGGCCCGGGAGCCTACCCTCGCCCAGCAGTAGGATGCGCACGTCCCGCTTCATGGTGGCCGTCTGGAGCTACAAACTGACGCCGGCACACAACCGGCCCCAACCCCGGCCCGCACCTGGGCTACTGACCGCGCTCTCCCGGAGTCCACACTTCCGCCCCGCGGGTGCAGCTACGCTAACGAGCCGGGCAGAGAAGAGCGGCCGGGCTGCTCGGCGGTGCCACCGCGTGGGCTCGCCGGGCACTGCAGGAACTGCGCCAGCCAGAGGGGCGGGGTTTCTATCCCAGGTACGGCTCTGCACCAGTTGCTCCAGGCTCAGACATGACTGCCCCACTCTGGGCAGGTCAACTCTTGAAGGTGGACAGGGAACAGGAGGTCTGGGGTTTGGCCAGAGACTAAGCTCAGGCCAGGCGAGAGAGCCAGGCGGAAGGGAGTAGAAGCCTGGAGTGACCAGCAGACAATACCACAATACAATGCCCACGTTTATTTCAACTATACAGGCAGAAATATAAAAAGTACTCAGGCAAAGAGCTAACAAGCCCTTTACATTTGTTTAGGGTCTAGATGATTTACATACACAGTCCTGGGCCTGTCTGGTGTGGAGGGGCTGGGCCTGCCTAGCCATCCTGGCCCAGCATGAAGTCCTCTACTAACCCAGCTTCTTGACAGAGCCTTTGCTCAGGCCAGGTACCCAGTGTGACCAGCAGGGAACACTTGACCCCGGCGTCTCCACTGTGGCTCAGTAGCCTGTGACCTCCCACACCAAGATCTCATTGTGGGCCGCTGTGAAGAGCAGATGGGCAGATGGGGTGAATCTGCAAAGCTGTACCCAGTCATCGTGGCCAGCAAAGTCCTGTGTGGCCTCCGTCACGCAGTCCACCAACCTCAGCACACGCTCTGTAGGCAGATGGCAGAGGGTGGGCCCTGTGCTTATGTCTGCAGCTCCAGGGCCCAGGGGTGCCCCTACCCCATCCTAGCTGTCTCCAGGTGGTGCCAGTGCTGTTTAGGGAATCTGTGCTGAATGGCCTGTATTCTCCATGCCCAGGGCTGTGTGTCACTGGGACTGGGGCAGCAGAGCCAAGTGAGACCCTTAAGTGTTGAAGCATCTCACAACATGGGGCTGCCAGGCCCCAAGCTGGACAGCTGAGTCCATTTAGGCCCCAGTGCTGGGTGCTGCACTCGCCACCCTACATTCCTTATCTCCTGACCCTGTGAAATCCCTGGGGCAGGTATCCTCACCCCATTTTAGAGACAAGAAAACCCAGAGTGCAGAGGTGAGAGGCATGTCTCAGTGTGGGGCACAGGTAAGTCTACTTGGCTCCACTCAAGACAAGCCAGAGTCTACATCCACCAGAACTCACCAGTGAAGCCAATGGCTATGAGGTGGGCTCCAGGGGACAGGCTCAGGGATATGGCGAAGAAAGGCAGAGGGATCTTCTCCACTACCTGTAGGCAGCAAATGTGAGGCACTGGGTAGTGGCTCCCATGGCCCCAGGACCCGCCCCTCCCAGCACCACAGGGGCATGTACATGCCTGCTTCTGGCAGAGGCTGTAGAAGATCACCTCCGGATGTGGGCCGAGGCCTGTACACACCAGCAATGCCCTATCCCAGGGGCAGAAGGCAGCAAGAGAGGGCGGTGGGCAGCCTGGATCCTGAGGAGGAATACAGCACGCTGTCGCAAGGTGGGCAGGTACTACTATCCCTGCCCAAGATGCCACCGGGACCCTCACCTTCAGGAGGGTGGGCGCTGGGAAGCTCAGCCAGTCCACGAGCTCACAGTGGCCCCGCAGCCAGTCGGAGGCCCAGATGCTGACCCGCTGGTCTCTGCTGGCAGCCAACCACAAGTCTGTGCCCTCCACCCCGAACTCTCTATACTGCAGGGGTAAGAGAAGGTAGGTACCTCCCAACCCACTTTGCCCAATCCCCTTCCCTGCCAGCACCACCTAGATGAGGCCTTGCCGGTTCATGAGCCCACTTCACCTCCTTGTTCGTGCTCTGGATGGTGGAGATCGGGGCACCCCGGTGGTCACTCAGTACACGGAAGGTCATCCCTGTGCGGGGGCAGCTCACAGCTATAAGCCCATCCTTGTCTCCAGAGAGGATAGTCTGACCTGGGCCAGGAAGGGCTCACTCTGTTACCCTGTGAGCCCCCAGCCCAAAGATGTGACCTGGGCCAGGCTGGGGCCCTCCTGTCACCCTGGTAAGCTCCCAGACCCTCACCATCAGCAGAGAAGAAAATGGCCGTCAGTGCAGCAGGATGGGGGTGCATCTTGAGCTCCATTGCGGTTTGGGAGATGTTGAAGACACGCAATGTGCCATCGCTATAACCTGCTGCCACGTGTTGCTGCTCTGGGTGTCCACAAGAAGTAGGGCTCCAAGCCAGGCAGAGGCAACTCTGGGGAACCCCAGTGGGGAAAGATCAGCACTCCCCTAGGGAGCAGGACAAGGGCCCAGCCCCAAGGCCACAGACACTGAGACTGGAGGCAGGATGCAGCTGCCAAAGCCCTTGAGTGGACAGTCAGGGGCCCAAGATAAGGGCTCCACATACTCACAACATGTACCCCTAGCCCCTGGTGCCCCAAGTACCTGGTTCAGCACTTGGAACTGGATCACCAGCTCCATGCTGGCCAAGGACCACACCCTCACACTTCCGTCATCTCCGCACGTGGCACAGTGGGACTCTCTGGGACTGAAGACCACCTCGTTCACCTGTGGGTAGCCAGCCAGCCCTACCTGAGTCTATGTAGCTTTGGACAGAGAGGGGACGCAGCAGGGCCACGTTGTTCTTAGGACAGTATGTGTCTCCTTCTCAAGCCTACCTGGCCACAGTCATCTTCACATGGAGAAGAAACTGTCCTGACCTCCCTCCCAAGTGCCCCACACGAGACCTGAGTGGAATCTGAACCACAAGGAGCCCACAGGCCATTGAATCTGACTGTCCTCTTGCTAAGACACCAGAGAAGTGTTCTGGAAGAACCTTAAATGAAACATGTCCTTAGAGGGCTGCAGACTAAAGGTAAAGGAAGCACAAAACACACTCTGGGCCATTCCAAGGGCCTCACAACTGGTGGTGGTGGTGATATGGCTTTTCCTGAGATTATCATGTGTGCACTGAGGGAGAAAGCAGGCATGAGAATCAAGATTTTGGTGTGAAAATAAAGGATACAGACACCATACACCAATGAGGTGAAATACAATGGCCTGGTCCTGCATTGTATGAGTTCATTGTATACTTTATCTTAAGTAATAATAATTTAGCTCTGTCCAGCTGAGAAGTGATGGACTCCTCTGGGAAGAAACAGCCAAGTCTGGTCCTGGTGGGAAATGCAAAGGGAGAGCCTGGACCTTGTCATTCCACATGAGCGGGAAATCACCAGTGACTATAAGTTCAAGGACTCAGGACTCAAACGCCCTGCCCTGGTGGACAGATCAAAATCATGTGTTCTGACTATACAATGGAACAGTATTTGTAATAAAAAGGAGTGAAGCACTGATACCAGCTGATAGGACACAGATAAACCTTGAGAACATGATGCTCAGTGAGAGAAGCCAGGCAAAATCCAGAGGCAAATCCAGAGTTGTTAGTGGTTGTCAGGGAATGGGTAAGGGGCGGGGGCGGGGGGGTGGTGTGTGTGGTGTGAGTACTTAACAGGTATGGGGTTTCCTTTTGGGATGCTGAAAATGCTCTAAAACTGACTGTGGCGATGGTTGCACAATTCTATGAATATACTGAAAAACACTGACTTTAAATGGCTGAGGTGTATGTTGCGTAAATCACCCCAACATAAAGCTGTTACCAGAAAACAGGTAAACTGTTTAATCATCACTCTTCTCAAATATTATTTGTTTGATGGCTACGGTTGTCTTCAAACAAATATATATGTAAGTTAAAAAACACAAAAAAGGACTCAGTAGCCAACTCAAAGACTTTGCCACTGGCTGAAGCCAGGGCTCTGTGAGCAGTGACCTCAGGGAGGCCCGGCCCACATGTCGACCCACTAGCTCTAGACTTGAAAAGTAAATGCATTGGCCACCGGCAGAACCAACGAACACTCAGAAACCTGGTCCATAAGGGAGAACCAGCTACCCTGCTGTTGCTGCCTTGGCTCTGCCTGAGGAAACCCAACACTCATGAGGCCAGTTTTCTCTCCTGGAGGAACATTAGACTATTGCTATCTGCAACTCTACTGAGGTGAAAGGTCACTCTGGACAAGAGCAGCACTGAAAGGTAAGCAGCCCCATGTGCTTCCTCACTGGAGACACAGCTCACTCACCCAGGAAGAGCTATGGGATGGATACATCCAGACCTCTCGGACCTGGGGAACATGGGTGCAGAAAGGCAGGTCCAACCCTGTTCTGTGGGAGGCTCTGGGATGGATGACCGGGTTTCTTCACCAAGTAAGTTAAAGAAAAAAAAAGCAGCAGAGGAAAGAGGAAGGACCAAGAAGAGGCAAGGTCTGTGGTGCTGACACAATTAGACATTACGTGGACTATGTCCACGTGGAATGAGCATGAACCTAGGTGTACATAGTCCTTACCTTGAGAATCTGAAACGTTTACATGTAAATCAATCTAACAGCTGGGCTTGTACTGGGAACAATGAGGAGGGGGGACGGACAGAGGGGAGCGAACGTGGGGCTCACGGCCCTGCTTCTGTCCAGGACAGAAACCCCCTCAGACGTCTTCAACAGCAAGCCGGTGGCCTGGCAGCCTCACCTTGCTCCTGTGGCCACTGATGAGGCGGGTGCTGGTGCCTTCAGCCCAGCTGACATACCAGAGCGTACCCGCCGTGGTACCTACTACGCCCATGTCCATGCTGTCGTGGAAGACGGCGCTCACGATGGCCCCATCCAGGGTCAGCTCGCGCTCCATGAACACAGAGCTAGAACTGGAGGGGAGTAGTGAGTCGCAAGGGTGGCAACAACAACAGTCCTGGGAGCCTCATGCTTCTAGGATATATCCCTATCCTTAGGCTCTAGCCTCACCCAAGCACGTCCCCATGGAAGGCAGGCCCTGCTGGCGATGGAGCGCTAGCCTGTAGCACTGATCAAGGACACTGGCTTCTTTACTCAGAGGCTCACCTGGCACCCGAGCCCTTGCGCCTCAGCTCTGGCACAGCTCCCACGGCCCACAGGCGCAGGCGCCTGGTGTTGCTGCCACTGACCAGCCGTGAGCCCGAGGACAGCAGCAC